TCTACTCATCAACACTAAACTGTTTGATGTTTCTTCAACCTATTTCTCTATTTCTTGCCCTCTTCATGTGGCTTTTCTAATCGGGAATAAAGCCTATGTCCTTATTCACCTAATTCTTAATGATCCTTTAAGATTTAATTTAGATATCTTCACTTCTAGAAAGCTTCCTCTCTTCGCCATTACTCCCTGTTCATATAAATCAACTACTGAACTTATTATACACATTATGTGTCTCTTACCAGCTAGATCGTATCTTATTTTTAAACTATGCCTAGCGTCAATTAATGTGCCCTGTTTATAAAAGGTCTTCAACAGATACTGTGTTGGAAACATTAATGTGCTAACAAATCAGTTCATTAATTCTGGTAAAAAAATAATTTATGAAAGAAATAGCAGTACAAATTCTAAGAAGGCACAGAAAATATGGGCAGAAACCCTGAAAAGGAGAAGAAAATCCATAATAAAATTGTAATAGTAAAATGAATAGTATATTTATAACCCTCCAGGAATGATGTAAGCATTTTAAATGAATTATCCCATTTTCTTTTCCAAAATACTATCTATGCATTAGATATGTTATTACCCCCTCACTTCATACATGAGAAAGCTGACTTACAGTTACTAATTAACTTGCACCTTATGACTGGCAAAGCTGGAATTCAAGTTCGAAACTCCACAGTTGTGGAGCAGTGATTTGCGTAAAGGTCCAGGCCCTAAGCTCAGCAATCTTAATGCTTTGAGTGCTGTAATAGGATAAGGGAAATACAGTTCAGAGAAGGAAATAGTAACTCTGCTCAGGGAGCTCAAGGAAGATACCACACCTAACATTTTTAGGATGACGAAGCACGTATCATGCAGAAGAGCAGGGAGGAAAATGTGATAGATTCTGTTAAAAAAGCACTTGGAAAGGGCAACCCTGATAAGAGAATGGCAAGCTGTAATTGGTCAGTGATTGGTGACTGGGCTATACAAGCGGCGTAGTGGAAGGCTACGCAGAAAAGTAAATTAGAACAAAATAATAGCAGTAACAACAGCTAACATTTATTGAGCACTTATATGCCAGGCACTCTACTAAATGCTTTTTAAATATTGTCTCCCTTAATTGTTATGAGAACCCTTTTAGGTAGGTATAACCTGTAGACTAGTGCCTGTGGTATACAATGGCCTGGGGAAGACACCTTTTGGTTGAGGTTTTCATAAGATACCTTTTTAGTCCTCTTGTCCTCAAAGGAATGTATGCATCATTGTGGTGCCAAATGATTCTGGTGCAGGCTATTACACTTCTGGCCCATTTCTCCAATTCTTTCTTCCTGCTCAGATAAGTTTACAAGAAGATTAGCATGTCCACTGGCCAGGCAATGTCTAACCAAGCGACTGGTAATGCCATTACTGTTCTTACAATTAGTTGCAATCTGTAAATTATTTCTCCTGAAATTTATTCCTTTATTATAGCTTAAGGGGTGAGTCCAGTGGGAAAAGGGGTATTGGGGTGTCCTAGAAAGCTTCTCCCCACAAGCACTAAACTCCCACAAGTGGAGTGTCTTTACCATCTCACTCCTTCCGAAACTTCCTATGAAGTGAGCCAGGGATTTGGGGTGATAGCTGATGATGTGAAGGCAAGTTTTGTCCCTCTTAATCAGCTTTCAGTCTGGTCCCAACTGTTGGTAAATCTCAGTGAGGAATACTGAGTTCCATTTGCTTTTAGCTATGGATTTGGTTACCTATTTTCAAGCAATATGAAAACTCTCATTCAACTCCCTGAGAGTCTAATTTATCCCAGTTACAGTCTCCACTTGTGTGTTTATCTGATGTACGACTTTCTGCTCCATGCAACTGTAATTAAATGAGGAAAAACAATTACATCTGTGTTTGATCACCGTTTTATCTGAAGCACTGAGTACAGTAATGCATAATAAATATTTATTCATATTAAATGAATGGAGGTTAAAAAAATATAAATGCCTAGTTCAATAATGCCAATAAAAAGCATTATTAGAAAAGATTTAGTCATAGTGTAATCACAGCTATTAAAAACATGTAAGTACTGAGGTAGTCAAGAATGGAGGGGCCCCAAGTGTACAGAACTTAAACTCATTGGGATTTAAATAAAGCCATGGAAAAATACATGAAAAAACATAGACTAGGAGGATATCTGAGGTTACCACTGGACAGAGAGATTATAGATGTAATTCATTTTTTTATTTTTGAATTTTTTATATTTGTCAAGACTTCATTAATTTTTAAAATAAACTTGTACTACCTTGAAAAAATGTTAACAAGAGTCAATAAACCCTTACGCACCAAAAATTTGACTATTTGAAAAGAGGATTTACAGTATTACCAATGTGAACCTGAACTCATTTTTGCTTAATTACATGAAAATGTTTACTGACAGTGAATTTCTCAATTTTTAAAAGATTTTTGCTCAAAGAGCTCTCATTTGGATGCTGTGAGTAGAACTGGATTGCCAATGGCAACATGGAACAAAGGAATTGACTATAACCCCTAACTTGTCTTTCTCTTGGCAAATGCCACTGTATAGTCCTTGCATTAGTAGCTTATAAAATTAAACTTCCAGTTATTTTTTGTTTATTTACCTCAAATTATCTCACTATTTATGCCATTTAGTACATAATTTGTGTTCTTAATAAACTGTAATTTTATTATGTGCACCAACTCATATACTTTCTATATTTTTCTTAAACTCATTTCATTTTTTTAATTGACATATAACACTGTATACATTTAAGGTGTACAACATACTGATTTGGTACATTCATATTGCAATATGATTGCTATTGGGTTAGGTAATGCCTCTGTCCAGTTGTATAACTATTCTTCTGGTGGTAGAACAATTAAGATCTAATACTCAAACTTAATTTAATGCTTATAATACAGTTTTGTTGTCTGTAATTGCTGGACTGTGCACTAGATCTCCAGGACTTCCCCAGTCCCTAGTAATCATCATAACACTTTTTTTTGTTAAGATTCCACATGTAAGGGATATCACACTGTATTTGGAATTCTCTGGCTGACTTATTTCACTTAGCATAATGTCCTAAAGTCCATCCACATTATTACAAATGACAGGATTTTCTTGTTTCTAATGGCTGAATAGTATTCCTGTGCATGTGTGTGTGTGTGTGTGTGTGTGTGTGTGTGTGTGTGTGCGTGTGTGTGCATGTGTGTGGAGAGACACACACACCCATTGACAGACACGTAGGTTGTTTGTATACCTTGGCTGTTGTGAATAATACTGTAATAAACATGGAGTGTAGATATCTCTTCAATAACCTTTGGATTTGTACCAGAAGTGGAATTTCTACATCAGATGGGATTTCTACTTTTAAGTTTTTAGGGAACCTCCATGTTGTTTTCTGTAGTGTCTATGCCAATTTACATTCCCAACAATAGGGCACAAGAGTTGCCTTTTCTCTGTACATCCTCACCAATATTTACCGGGTGTTTTCTTGTTGACAGCCATTCTGAAGTGACACCTCACTGTGGTTTTGATTTGCATTCCTCTGATGATTAGTGATGTTGAGCACCTTTTCATGTACCTGTTGGCCATTACATGTCTTCTTTGGGAAAGGGTCTTTTTAATTCCTTTATCCATTTTTTAATTGGATTGTTTGTTTTGTTTTGTTTTGTTTTTGATTTGTATGAGTTCTTCATAAATTTTGAATATTAACCTTTTATTGAATAACTTGACTTGCAAATATTTTCTCCCATCCAAAGCTGGCCTTTTATCTCATTGGTTCTTTTGCAGTGGAAAATATTTTAAGTGTGATGTAGTCCCACATGTTGAAATATTCTTTTGTTACTTGTGCTTTTGACATCATATCCAAAAAATCTTTGCCAAGACAAAGTGTTAAGATTCTTCTTCCTTGTATTTTCTTCTAGAACTTTTAAAGTTTTGGTCTTACATTTACATCTTTGAAATCTGTTGATAGTCTAATGGGGGTTCCTTTGTAGGTTATGTATTTTTTTCCCCTGGTTGCCTTTAGGATTCTTTATTATTGATTTTTGTCACTTTCACTATGAAGTATCTTGGAGATCTTTTTATGTTGAGATAATAGGGGGATCTATAGCTTCATGTACTTGTATGTTCAAGACTTTCCCCAGGTTTGAGAAGTTCTCACCTATTATTTCTTTAAATAAATATACTCTGACTCCTTATCCCTCTCTTCTACTGGAATCCAGATTATTCTGATATTTATCTTTCTGATGGAATCCAGTAACTCTGGTAGACTTTCTTCACTCTTATTAATCTAAATTTCCTTTTCTTCTCTGTGTTATTTCAAAATTCCTAACCTCCAAGTCATTTATTCTTTCTTCCATATGGTCTGCCCTGCTATAAATGCTCTCTGTGGCATTCTTCATCTCATTCACTGATTTCCTCAGCTCCAGAATTTGGTTTGGTTTTTTTTTTTATTATTTCAATCTCTGTGGTGAAGAACTCATTTTGGTCACGTATTTTGTTCCTGATTTCACCGACTTGTCTTTCTGAGTTTTCTTGTAACTTGTTGAGTTTCTTTGTAACAGCTATTTTGAATTCTTTATCAGTAAAATCACAATATATCATATCTTTGAGCTTAGTTTCTAGAGAATTATCATTTTCTTTTGTGATGCCATGTTACCTTGGCTTTTTTATATGAAGTGTAGTGATGCATTTCTGCTTTCTCATTTGAAGTAGCAGACACCCTAACTTTTTACCTATTACCTTCAGCAGGTGTAGTGTTATTTCTATGGTGGTGTTACTATCTGAGGTGCTTTATTTGTTTTTGTCTTTGTGAAAGTGTATCTACTCTGCTTTTCTTGTTTTCTTTTGTGCACAAAATTTTAATCTTTTATGTCTACCCTGGGTCTTATAATTCACCATAGCTGGCTATTGGAAACCTCTTTGGTTTTCCAGACAGTGATGCTGTAGCTCAAGTTTGTAGTTTGCCCCTTACCCACCAACCTGAGCCTGTTTACTTACTGTACTCTGTGTACCAAAGCCACTTCCTGCAGGACGACTCACTGCACCCACAGGAGTCAACAGTGTGGATTCAGTGCTCGGTGCCTTAGGGCTGTTCCTGCAGCTAGTGGCCCTGCCAGACGTCCTTACCATCGGGTAGACATTCTGCTGAGCATGATGCCTTTAACATTATTTGAAATTCTTAATCTGCCTTTATCCCAATGTCCTCTCTCCCCCGAGGCTAGAGTTTTAGTACTTTAGTACTCCAGGTGTTGGGGGTGGGGGAGCCGGACTGTCATGCACAGCTTTCCCTTTCCCCTGCAGGAGAGATCGCCTTCCATGGATGAATTAGCCTTGTACAGTGTTTCCCTGGGAGTAAGTTTCCCTTCAAATCCACTGTGGCCAAATTCCTAATTTTCTTTTTCTTTTCTTTCTTCCACCAGCGATGGGCTGGCGTCTCCCAGAAGGCTGGACTTCTGCAGGTTCTCCCTTATACATAAGTACCTGCCCAGAATACAAGGCACTGAATTTTTGCTGGACAGCAAGAGGAATCTAAGGAGTTTCGCCAGCTCTGCTGGTTGCACAGCTCACACGGACGTTGCTGTCTTGATGGCTGCACTAGTAAGTGAAATTCCTCACAGGACCCTGGGAGTAAAGCACTGGGTTCCAAAATAACTGCAAACACACTTTTGTTCATGTGTGAGTTTGTAATTCCTTGATCTAAAAGGAGGGTAGAAAGGAGGAACGTCTTGTGCCACCATGTTGTTATCACCCCTCTACATATACGTCCTCATATACTCCACAGCATCTGGCTTGTCCATTGTTACTAACAAATTAATTTTAAAATGGTGAAATACAATAATTACTAAGTGCCTGCAATATTGCAAGCACTGAGTATTTTAAATGAATTAACTTTTCAATGAATTTAGTAATAACACTAACATCTTATGGTTATTAATATGATCCCATTTTACAGATGAAGAGATTGAGGCACATTGATTGAGTAATATGAAGAAGACATATTACTTGCTCAAGTTTTCTTAGCTAGTGACCAGTGAAGCTGGGATATGAGCCAGGGTGACTGGTCCCAGAGCCCACCCCCAAAACACGGTGCGGCTGCCCTACCAGCCTAGACTAAAGCAATCTTGGAGGAAAATTATTTTTTAATGAAATCATAAGAAATTAACAGCTTTCAGAATAAATTTGTTAATTAAGCTCATTTGTCTTTTCTGATATATTTAGATCTTTTCTTATAGTAAGCTATGATTTATATTTCTAGGAAATTATTTCAATATGGTGGGATTTGATAATTGATGTAAAAATTTATTTCCTATGTTTAGTTAATCTCAGATTGTGTGATTAATTTTAATAATGGAGCATACTGTGGGATTTTGTAATATGTATCATATAATCTTTAGACTACATAAAGGCAATTTCTGGAAAGCAAATTAGTGAGTGATTCCATGGAATGCTATTTAGAAGAAATAAAACAAATCTCTGCCTAAATAGTATTACACTCTCTAGACCATTGAGATAAAGTGTAGGCCCTCCCCAACCCATCATTCCTCACATTATTAAGCCTAATTATAGAACTGCAGTTATTAACTGAGTTCCTCTTAAGAGTTAAATAATGGGCTTATTTAACTCTTGAAGCTGGTGGTAAGATCTTCTAGGAGGTTTTCACCATAGCACATTACTACCACCTTGCACAATTCAGAGTAACCAAGCAGGAACGAGAAGTTATTTGTGTTCCCTTATATATACTGCTGTGCTGAAGATCAAGATGTGTATCTCCCTTTGGACACAGGAACATCTTATCTTTCCTGTTTCTGCTTATCTCAGGTAAGATATTTGTGCATTATTAAATAATGAGCTATCCATGGCAGGAAAAAACTTTTATAGCTTTTAATTTTATGCTCAACTTTACTATTAGTAGATGAGAGTGTATTCATTATTAGGATTTGAAGTATTTTTTTTTCAGCATTGTGCTGGTCCAGTATACCATGTATACCAAAAGAAGGACGATGTGTGGAATACTGTGTTCATTTCTGGCATATCCCTTTTTATTGGTTGTAGATAAAGTGGAATACATTTAGGACCCAGCTACTAGGGTACTGAAGATACACAAAACCACATCATGTGTAAATTGGTTGAGGGAGAGAAACTGTCCAGATTTTCAGACAGAAGCCCTAGTGGGACAATGACAACCCACTTTAATAGCTAATGGTCATAAAGAAGAATTGGAGAGAAAGTTACTGGAAAAAAAGAAATAAAAAGCTTGAGATAACTTTTAAAATAAAAAGAGGGAATTGTTATAAAAGCAACACTTGGAAATTAAATTATTATATTATATCTATATATTATATATAATATTAAAATTTTTCTTTTTTCAGAGTTACATTAAAGATTATCATGACCAAGAGAGAAATTTTTAAAAACAAGGTTTTAAACTAACTGCCTTAACAATTGGAGATACTCATCAGTGATATGAATTATTACAGATCAAAGTTTTACTTTTCTCCTTTGGTTAGGTCTCAAATTCTTGTCCTTCTAAAGGTATTAAGAAAAACTGCTGCTTTATTCTCAGGTTCCAACCTAAGACTGGATAACACAAGAACAAAGCTTGCATTTGTAGGTAAAGGATGAGACTGGTTTTTATTAAGAAGAACTGTCCATCTGATCAAGGAAATCTGTTCTTTCAGAAAAGAGTCAAACTTTGCAAAAATGTATGAGTCCATTTCTTAAAACTGATGATTTTTTTCATAAAGTAAGCTATTTAGGTACTCATCAATCTCATAAATGCTACATTTCTTCTCAGAGACAATGCTATTGGTGGGCATATGCCTCGTGGTATTGCTGCAACAAGCTGCAGGAATGGTAAGGATTTGACTTACAGATTTTAAACTCTAAAATAGGATTGCCTTACCCATACCTCATGAATGTCACATACGCAAATATGATGATTGCAAATCTCCTGGGATGGGGAAAAAAAATATTATCTGATCACATTATGCATCATGGTTTTTGCCAACGCATATCTTTACAATAACCAGTAACTTTTTTTGTACTAATTAACACTATGGAGCACTAAGACAGTGGGTCAGCAGTAAGCATCAAATGTGAAGTACAGCATTCATCAGTAGTATAAAATTAAATCACTATTTGCCTTTCAGGAATTCAATTTTCTCTTAAGTAGGTTATGTAGTTGAAGGATTTAACATATACTTGAAGATTTAGTTTCCAGACCCACAAAAGTATGTATTTGATATTACAAAGTCCTAAACAACAACAGTTCAAAACTGAAACTATAATTCTGGTTTTCATTGTTTATCTCAACACATTGTGATTTAGTTCAATTCAACAACCTTTTTTTTTTTTTTTTTTTAGTGTCTGCTATACCAGATATTGGGCTAGATGCCAGACATAGAGCAATAAGTTACAGGACTGAGAGACTGGTTAGACATGAGATGCGAGGACAGGGTGGGAGCATCTGCATGGCATCACTGGGTGACGGGAAATGCCACGAGCCTAGGGAGCACCTGATGATGATCAGGCACTGAGAGGAGCCAAGGATGGATTTGTGGGGCAGGCAGGTGTCAGGCGAGGCATGCATGAGATCTGAGTCAGGGGTTTGAGGATCAGCAGTGTATTAGTGATGCTGAAACCACAAAAGTGTATAAACTGAGAAATGTATAAAGGGAAAGGGACTTAGGAAAAAGTACTGAAGAATGCCAAGATTTAAGGGTCAGCCAGGGGGGGAAATGTTGAAAAGAAAGGAAACAAAAAAGCAAAGAAGAAGTAGGAGTCTCACAAAAGCCAAGGGGGAAGTGATCAAGAAGGAAGTCTGCAACATTCCCCAGCTGAGACAAGTAAGACAAAGAATGAAAGGTTTCCATTGTAGTCACTGCGGATGAAGTTGTGTTGGTCTTGGTAAATGGCAGTTCAGTGAAGAGGTGGGGACAGAAGATAGAGTGCAGTAGATTAAGAAGCAAGCGGAAGTGAGCATTTAGACAAAGGTAATGAACATTGAAAGAAGTAAGACATATTCCTCTCCTTGCTAAAAGAGGAAACTCAATCTAAACATGCAAAATCTGGCTTTATATAAGTATCTACTTCCTTTTACCCCCCCCCCCTTGGGACCGAAGCCTTGGCCACTTGACTATAAACACAAGCAGCTTAGGCTGTGTACCAAGAGAAAGGAAAGTAATTTTACACCCTTAAAGCTGAGTGATCATTACAATTTGACTTCTGCATTTATTTTAAAGCGATAGTGTGCTTGACTTCTAAAGAACTGATGATTTAGACTAGAAAGTTACTTGAGGAAACCAAAAAGAATAAAGCCACTTCCATATTTTTCAAGAGAAGACAAATGAAAACAAGTTTCCTACAATTAGATACCTACAGAGCTTTCTTAGCATGTCTGCCAACCATGTAGATAGATTAGAATGGACACACAGGAAGAAGAATTTTAACTAAAGTTAGAAGTACTATTTCCTAAATGACAGTTTCATTCCAGGCATCAGTGTATTAATCTGGAAAGACCCTAGGATTTATTTATTATTAATTTATTTAGAACCAAAAGAATTTGGTTCAGTTTCTGATTTTTTTGTTCACTGACTTGGTAACATGTCTAATTTCCGGGGACCTTATCTGTAAGATGAGCATAGAGTTTTGGATAATGTAGCCTTTGATTCTGATCAATGCCCATTGAGAAGTGGTTTATCTGATCTGGAATATCTCTGAACCTCAATTCTTCATTTCTCTAGTGATGGGCTACTTTAAGAACTAAATGACATAATAGTACTTCCCTAATGTATAGAAATCAAAGTTATTTCACAGCTTTTTAAGATGTAGAGAATTAAAAAAAAAACGTGACAATATATTTAAGATGAATATCGCCAAGGTTGATAGTAATGGGTTTACTACTTAGCATTCCAGTGTTGGTTTCCAGGAAGCCCACTGCACATGCCAAGGATCTCAGTTATTATTGCTCTTGGCTTCCTTTCTTAATGGGGCAAGCGATAGCTTTAAAGACATATGACATTCTGCTCTCTGGTTATCCACGTAACACTTTAAGGACAGATGACTGCTTCTGCTGCTTTGTGCTTGGTAATGATGTCATTGGAAAAGCGGTAGTGGTGCATATGGAAAAGGTCAAATTGTGAGGTGATAGCTGAATAAAAGGTTGCTGTTAGCAGAGAAATTAAATATTAATTCAAATACAAGTTATTTAAAACAATTTTGTCCCACTTTAATGATAGACTTTATATTTAAATTCTTACAAATCCTCTGAAATTGTATTTTCAACGTGCCTTCAGTGCTTTTCTTTGTCACCAAATGCTTCATTTTGTTTTGACCAGTGACCCAAAGGAGATTATTAATAAATCCAAGGAATAAAAAAGACAAATGAGTGCACAGATAGCAAACACTTAATGTGATAAGCTATTTTCTAAGAAATAGTAGCTTCCGTATGTTGCTCTCATTATTAAAATAAAGCCTATGGGTACAAGGATAGGTTATGTTTACTAATTTGCACTTCTAAATTTAAAGTAATCAGGCTGTTAGATATAAAGAAAAAAGAGATTCTCAAATAATTGAGTCAACCTTTCTGAATCTCTGCTTTTTCCTGGGTAAGATAAAAGATATTTTTCTCATTTAGAGTCTAGACAGGTAACAGATTTCAACAGATATCTTGTTTCAGCTTCGAGCTAATTAGGATGTGGTATTGTGCAAGTGCAGAGTACATGTCGACCTGATAAACTTTTATATTGCAAAACACTTCCTTCCCGCCAGAGCTTCAGCTAACACCTCCATCATGTCGTGTAATTACCATTTCTTTTTGCAACACAGATGTTTTCAATGAATGGGCTTTAATGAAGTGATATTTACAGAGGAAGGAGCTGGTTCAAGGAACAAAGAGACTAGCAGCAGTAAAAAGCGTTTCCATAACTAGGCCAGAGGGACTAAGGGAGGAAATACTGTTAAAAAGTTGAAGCCAAAAAAGTATAATCAAGCATGGAAATATATACTCCCAGAGATGGAATGCAGAAGCAGGAAGGGCGTGGACAAGAAATGCCCTGACCTCTACCCCCTCCCACCCTCCGCTGCCCTACCAGTGCCTCCCTTTGGTCAATCCAGCCAGTCAGAGACAAGAGACCCCAGGGAGTTCAAGCCAGAAAGGTCAGCCTCAGGCCACCAGACAGGACAAAGAAGAGGGACAGGCCACAGACTGGGCAGTACAGCCAATAGAAAAGAACCAGCACAACATTTAGAAACTATTTTGTCTTTAATAGCCAAATTTGTCATGAGTAATTTTTCCAGTTTTTAAAAACATGCTGTCCTCTAATTATGCTCTTAAGACAGAAAATAATAATTGACAATTTCTGAGGTTAATTTAAACATAAATATACACACAATTCATAATCTTTAAAAGATACTGAACATGGTTGACAGACACTCTGGGAGGCTACTTGTATTTTTTAATATAAGTAACATCTGGATATACTATAACCTTCTTATATTTTGCTGTATGTTTTTTTAATCCTGAAACCCTCTGTATTTTGGGGAAATATTTCTTGCTGGATATCATATTGCTCAAACTGTGTTTTGCAGAATTACAGGAATTATTTTTGTTATCATCCTCTTGGTATTCTCTGGCACTAATTAGGCTGATGGCGAATGCTTTACATTCTTGATTGTTATGAGAGATCATGTGTAAATAGCTTTTATGGATCAAGTTAATCTATTGTTAAGGGCAAAAAAATGGTGATATTCAACACAAGGCTAAGCATTTTTATAAACTTCCATATTGAAATTAATCAGTGTTGTTATGTTACTTTGATTTTCAACATAGTAACTTTATCCTAACATTTTGCTTCCTTTTAAAGTCAGATGGCACAGTTTTATCTTTATCGACACATCATCCATCTGTCCAAAAGGAGATTGTTAATAAGCACAATGCGCTTAGAAGGATGGTAAATCCCACTGCTTCCAACATGCTTAAAATGGTAAGTCCTGTCTTGTCCATGGCTCATTACCAATTAGCATTTAGCCATTTAGCAATGGGCATTCAATCATTGTCTATATATGTAAGATAGTCTTATCTATTCATTTCACTAGAAAGTTGACATATTGGCTGGTAGTCAAATCAAACATACTGCATTTGACCTGAAAAAAGATATTGACTATCAATGTAGAATGGAGACATAATTAATAAGCAGATATGTGAAATAAACCTTGTAAATTGTGTAACTTGAATAATCAGATTCCAAACTGCAAATGAAAACTTAAACTACATAGTAGAATGTGGTGTATAGAACTGGAAAGAAAATAAGAGGGAATTCCACTCTTTTTGGCTATGGTCAGATGTTATATATGATGTAATGTGTACCGACTTAGACTACACATTAATAAAATGAGTATACAGAAGATGGTAATGAGCATGTGGAGAAGCTAGAAACCAAAACACCATGAAGTAGGAGATACAGGTTAAGTAAAGAATATCCCTAGAAGATATGATAGTTGAATCTAGGCTAATTACCTAATCTGGAAGAGCTTCAGCTTTCTTGGCTATTAGTGGAAATGATAATTCAAACTTTGCGACATCTTTGTGAGGATTAGTAGAGAAATATTAATGTAAATAAAGTAATATTATTGTAATGTAAATAAATATTAATGTGAATAATAAAACATGGGATACTCAGTAAAAATTAGTTCTTTTTCTCTTTCCAATTCAGATGTATAAAATGTTCTTATATGATGAATTGGGTTTGTTCTAAATTTTCTCAAACAGTTGAGTTAGAATCAACAAATCGTAGGTATTTGGAAGTCCTTCCAAACTTCAGTAGATTAAAGACATCCATGTAACAATTAGTGCTACAATGAACTGTCTTAGGCGTTACTGAGCATATACTTCAATTACAGATGAAATGACTATTTTTTGGAGAGAATTCCTGTCATACATGAAAAATAGAATCTGTTATCTCTGTGGTTCATTTGAATTTTGAGTTGGTGTTTAGGCTAAAGGAAGAAATTTTTACATAAAAAGTAATTGACATTGCCTTCCCGAAGATAAAAAATAAGTCTGTTTTATTCTGAACATTTCTTTTCATACTAGACTGAAATAATTTTTTCTCCCAATAAAGTAATGGCTAGCAAATTTGGCTTAATTTATCTGAATTATGATAATATTAAATCCCTATTTTCACTGATTTTCCTAGATTTTTCCTGTTTTTGCATGTGAGATAAGGGTGGGCATTTATTTTTATTTTTCATACATTTTCCCCTTCACACTGTTGTATTTCATTTAGTATAGCACAAATTTACTAATTCTTACTGTAGCATCTGGCAATATATTAATACATGATGACAGCTGCAAATGTAATAGACATTTTAGGGGGCAAACAGCACATATTTAGTCTCATTCTAATGAAAAAGCCACACCCCCAGGCTAGTAAAAAAAAAAAAAAATCACCTGTGATTTTCATCTAAAAGAACAATTATTCATTGTTTTTGAAATGACGATTTGGCTGCTAAGAAGTTGAATGGCTATTTTTCTCCCCTAAAATATTTCAAATGTGACCCTATATAGGAAGATCATTTAGGAAAGCAAGAACTATATCCTTTGATAGACTGATGAAAAATTAAGAAATACTACAAAATAATTCATCAAATAGTAGTTTGTTTTAAATGCAATCATATACATCACCATTATCTCATGAGAGCTTCATATTTTCATTTCCAAATGTTTGTCATTTATTTCAAGAGCTGGAATGGTGAAGCTGCAAAGAACGCTGAAAAGTGGGCCAAAAAGTGTACGTTGTCTCACAGTCCCCCCAGTGAGCGGAAAATTAGCTGTAAGTCCAACTTCCTCAGTGAATAATGTGTCATTTTATAAAAGCCAAAAATTAAATGAAAATCATTGAAATAGCTATAGCGTTTGGGAATGACATCTTGTTTTCATTTGTGGTTTAACTCTCTGCACACACTTCGCTACCTTTCTTGTGTTCCTGTTCCTTCCTTGTCTTCTTTTAAACTCTTACCCAAAAATCTCACTACTCTTGCTACCCCCAGCCAAAAATGTAAAGTGAGTCTGAGTTAGTGGTCAAAGGCAAGTGCTTTGAGGGAGAAAAAATTGTTTTAAACTTTTTTTTCTGAACTCAAGTCCATTTAGATATTCACCATCCTTAGTTAGCCACATGCCATTCTTGAAATCTAAAAACACCTCCCCCTTAATACCTTGTGATCAGTTACCAGACCACCAGTTCCTGGTGAAAATAATTATTTTTTATTAAAACATTCAGAATGTAAGTGTAAATGATGAGAATGGAAATTTAAATTTCTCCCTAACTTTCAAGGTCCTCAGTTCACTCCATTCTGCCTGTCCACTCAACTCCAATCTTGTCTTACATTTTTTTTACTAAAATCTGGTCCAGCCCCCTTATCACTATAGACATGTTGTTGTCACTCCTGCATCCATGGCTTAGATTTCATCATTTTCCCACTGAATATCCAATCTTATGTCTGATCTAGTTGCTGTCTGCTTCACATATACTCCTCTTATTTCCCCAGAAAAGAACAAAGGTCAAAATCATGTCTATAACTTTAAAAATATCCCCTATATGCATACTACAAAGGTATTACAGATAATAAATACTTGTGGATTGACTGCTAATCAGTTTACTTATGTTACCAAAATCATGGCTGTGATAATGTTAAGCTAGAGAATCAATTTGAAAATGGATCATTATGTACATTTTAGAAAGAGCTATTCATAGGCTGCAAAGAGTGAGAAATTCCAATTCAGAGAGCAGTGCTTTTGAAATTAAAATTAAATTTCTCCCATAGATCAGTCAGTGAAAGATACTGTTCATTGTTGGGAGATGGTATTCATCACAAAAACTAAACTATAATAGTTGAATAGTTTTCAATGAGAATTCTTCACAAGTACTGGCTTCACTATTGATTCATTGTCTTTTCTAATTTTTAGTTACTGGCTGTGGGGAGAATTTATTCATGTCAAGTAATCCGACATCATGGACAGATGCAATCCAATATCTTTACAATGAAGTTAAAAATTTTACCTATGGATTTGGAAGGACTCGAGCAGATGCTGTAGTAGGCCATTACACCCAGGTATAACTGAAATGACAAACGATGAGTGTTTTTGTCTCCTACCTTCCCAGAATTACTTTTTCTCCTCAATTTATCCTAGCCATACCAATCACACATCTGAATTATGCAATCTATATGTGAGCATGAGAGCTGCCCTACTTTATAAAGCATGTGTGTGTATACATATATTTATATAAGCATCAACCTATTTTCCATCAGCTACCTGCAAATCTGGTTATGGTCTGGATTTCCCACAAGGGGTTCTTTTAAATAATAAAAAGAACTCTGGGAATAAAATGATGGAGAATCCTAATTACATTTCAGCAACACTAAATGACCTTTAAACAAAAGTCTTAAGCTATTTTCTCTGGGCCAGTCACAGCATGAAATACTAAGGAGAAAAATAATCAAGAATATTATACTCCAGTATGCAAATTATATTTTTCATTGTTGAATAAATAATTTTTGCATTCCATAAAAACTAAGGAAAAGTTTTTGGAGTAGCTGAGATTATTCTCACAAAAACACAGGCCAATAAGATATCTTCTTTTTCCCTGCAAAAATTGAACCCCCTTTAGGAGACTTTCCCCACATAGCCCATCACCCCATTGTCTACATATTTATGAATTTAGGAGTAATTCATTGTTGTAACAAAGGTGTCAGGAATGTACAAAATTAATAATGTTAAATGAAGCCTTTGATGTAAATGAAGCCCATGGTTGGAAAAAATATTTTAAAAGAATAATCATAAAGTTCAGATGGAATTTTTAAAATCTGAAAACAATAGTTTTCAGCTTTTGAAAATTCCCTTCATTTGATAACTTCTAATAAGCAATTAAGAAACAAAAAAGCCACATAGTGTGAACACTATAAATTTAACTTAAAGGACTTTATTTTAAACTTTTCACTTCCAGATTGTTTGGGCCACTAGCCACCAGCTTGGCTGTGCATTTGCCTACTGTCCTGAAAAGAAGTTACGGTATTACTATGTTTGCCAATACTGCCCTATGTAAGTACAGCACCAGGGATCATTCTGCATACGGGAGGCCAGCTGGCCTGCACCTTGTGCTATAATCTAATCCCTTTCATCAATCTGAGTTTATGGGGTAGCTTCATGAAGAGCTTTCAGGATGTGTTTGGAAGACTGAGAAGAATTGGGAAAGACAATAAACAATGATTGCATGCATTCTAAGGGGTAATAAGGCCATGGGGTATCAATAGCATAGGGTGGTATATAAAGAATAGGTTCTTTGGTCCACAAGAATCAAGCACATCGATTCTGTCATGTGCTAGCTGTCACTAGGCCACTAGTGTGGCCTTCGGTTCACCAAAAACAACAATGTGAAGTTCCTTTATCCTTATTTTGAAAGAGGCAGCCACAATACATTTCTTGCAAGGATTTCCTGAGGAGTAAATATGATAAGCTATGCTAAGTGCCTAGCATGGCTCATAGCACATAACATATTTTCAATGAAAGCAAATTCATCAAATAAAGAAATATTCTGTAAGATGCCAATTCCCCAAATTCTTAGGAACCTTACTACAAACTTGCCTTCTGGTCAAATGCCTTGGGCCTCCTAAAGGAAGTGGAATGTCATCTCTTTTCTTCTGCATATATTTAAATCCTACCAGTTTACCTGGAAATTGTGGTTCCAACTTTCAGAAATCTCTCTCTTCTGAACTCCTGTAACTTTCTGTGTATTCCATTCATGTGGCACAATCCTGTATTCCTTAGTCATGTCACTAATTCTATCCTTCAAATATTCCATTGCCAGGGGGAATTTTGTGGAATTCATGAAGACCCCATATAAAAGAGGAAAACCATGTGGAGCCTGCCCTAATCATTGTGATAATGGGCTTTGCAGTGAGTAATGTCCATTCTACATCTTTGGGTGCTGCTGTCTTGATGTCTAAATGCGAATGACAGTCACTGAATCTGCCCTGATAGATGTATGCCCCCATTTTGCTTCTGGGTCCTCCTTTTTCTACTTCAGTCTTTTTGACCTGGGCAATAAAAATAGAGCTAAAAATGAAGTGGTAGGTTCAGCTGCCATTGAGTGTGGTGATGACTAAAAGAAGATGGACATTGAGGTAGTCATGCCCAGCAAAGTTAACCCCAGCTGAAGTTCACCTTTAGGTCCTTCTAGTTAGCTGGTTCCTTCTTTTTCTTATTTAGGGAGGAGAAAGGTCGAAGTGTAGAAACTGCCCATACAATCTCAGATAGGACCAGGCTTCAGTTGCTTTTGCTCCTAAATAAAAGCCAGGGAATATATAAAAGAGAAATGTGGTGTTTTCCCCAGCGCCTCTTCACGCACACACACATACACACACACTCTCCCTCTCTCTCTCTCTCTCTTGTCTCATTTTCTCACACACACTGCCAACTACATCACTTGACTGGTTCCTAATTAGTGCATTTCATGGGAAGCAACCACCTGAAAAAGAACTTTGGGCTATTTTAAGCACCTATGTTGAAGGTTCCAGCTAGCCTTCTATTAATCCCAGACATTACATGCACACATGCACATACACACAGCAAAGCCCTTTCTGTATAGGATACTATTCCTTTGTATGGTTTGTTGAATAGAGTGTGAGCTGGATTTGGGCTCCCATTTGCCACCTTTCCCGTTTTGTACAATCTGCTCATTGCACATGTGGGCACATACAAACATACACACACTGGCCTAAATAAGGGGTACCTGATGTACACTGGGAATTACGTTTATTTCTGTCATGTGCACCTTATTGGAACAGGGTAGGAAAACATTTGATTTCATAAAGCTCTGGGTATATCTGTACAGGTATGTCTATTAGGCAGTTGATTATATATTTGTATGTAGTGAGCTTTGAATGATAGAATATATGAATGAAAGAATAAATGGATCTCTCCTGATATAATATAGTTTTGCATAACTAATACTTTAATCCAAAAAGCAGCATTTTATTTGTCTTTTATTTCATTTCAGCCAATCCCTGCATGCATGTGAATAAGTATGGGAATTGTGATGATTTGGTCCAAATACAGGGGTGTAATACAAAAGCCATGAAAGAAAACTGCCCAGCTACCTGCAAATGCCCTTCAGAAATAAGATTAAAACCTCTTCATAGTGACGTTTGTCCTCAAAAGTAAAGTAACTGCATTTAAAAACAAAGTCACTGAAAAAATTGTACTGCTTTCATGTAAAAACTCAGACAAGTTTTGAATATCTTCTGTTGAATATATCTTGTTTCATCAATTAAATATGATAACATCTGAATAAAGAAAAACAGGTAATAAATTGAACTTAACCAGACATTAAATTCAATAACTCTGAACTATAAATAAAAATGTAATACAAAATCTAATAAATTCTTAGTCATCATAATTGGTGAAATGTGCTTTAAGTTTTGTGTAACTCTTAGGAATAACTGTGTTGAAAACTTTTAAAACACAGGGCTCAGAAAGCCTTTAGTTGGGGAGAGGAAAAATTTGGCAGCATGAGAAGTGAGGCAGAAACCTCTTCCCAAAACCACATATAACACAAAAATACAGCAAATAGAACTAATCCTGAGTGACCTGAAGACTGCTACAGGTTGCCTACATCTAGGGAAAATCTCTCAGAAAAGGGTAAAGTAGCAAAGCTGCGATCCAGTGGGACCCAAGCCCTCCCCCAACCCCAGCCTACAGGTGGGAGATAGAGAAACAGAGTGGGGAAGAAGTAGAAGCTCAGGACTACTAAACACCCCCCTGGAGATCTGCTCCAGGTGCACAAACTAACATTACATGGTGCTCTGGAGATTAGAGGGGGTGGAAAGCAAAGACATGTGGAAAGACAGACTGAGATTCCAGCCACTTGTGGAAAATAGGTACTCACAACTGGCCAATCTGGGACAGAAGAAACGTGGGCATATTGGAAGACTTCTCAACAGTGAATGGGGTGCTAAAGAGGCAAGGATTACATAGAGGTGGCTGCTCAGGAGAAAGGATAGGTGGACAAAATCATCCTGGCACACTCAGCATAGCAGGTTGGGAATGTTCAGGAGCTACAGGCGCTCCATCCCCATGGCTGGCAATGCAACACAGAGGCCCCCCACTGCAATATACAGCCTGCTGCTCCTTCCTCATGGGAGGCACTGGTCAGCTCACCTGCTGCCCCTGCCATTGTGCTAGGTCAGAGCTGAGTAGCCCCACCTACTGTGGCTACAGAGGCATAACACAGAGGCTCCTCCATGCATGCTAGCCCACTGGCCCTGGCAGTGGAGTCGGGCACTGCAGCCGAGAAGCAGGAAAGAGCTCTTTCTCCTGGAAGGCACTGACTCCATGCACCTGCGAACCCTGCCATCACTCCAGATGCTGGGCAGCTGCAGAGAGTAAAGCTTCTGGCCACTAGAGGGCACTGCCTACACAAAGTTATTATTCAATAGAAATCATTAGAAATGTGAAATGGCAAAAGAACCTTGTTCAACCCCAAATACCTCAAACACCAGAAAGAGGGCACAGGGAAACTCAAATCACCAATATTCTTGATAAAGATTTCAAAATAAAAATCATAAATATGCTCACACAGAGCTACAGAAGAATAATTGAGTCTCAGGGATGACTTCAAGAAAGAGATAGAGACTTTAAAAAATACAACAGCTAAAATGAAACATACAATGGAGGAATTTTAAAGCAGATTAGAAGGGTTAGAGGAGATGGTCAATGGAATAGAAATTAGAGGACAAGAATACAAAGAAGCTGAGGCAGAGAGAGAAAAAAGGATCTCTAGGAATGAAAGAATAATAAGAAAACTCTGCAATCAATCCAAAGGAACAATATTCACATTATAGGGGTGCCAGAAGAAGAAGAGAGAGAAAAGGGGGTAGGAAGTCTGAGGAAATAATTGTGAAAAATTTCCCCAATGTGGGGAAGGAAATAGTCTCTTAGGCCATGGAAGTGCACAGATATCCCAACACAAGAGACCCTAAGAAGACAACCCCAAGACATATAATAATTAAAATGACAAAGATCAAGGACAAGGACAGAGTATTATAAGCAGCCAGAGAGAGAAAAAAGATCACATACAAAGGAAAGCCCATCAGGCTGTCATCAGACTTCTCAGCAGAAACCTTACAGCCTAGAAAAGAGTGGTATGATATATTTAATGCAATGAAACATAAGGGCCTCCAACTAAGAATACTCTACCTGACAAGATTGACATTTAAATTTGAAACAGTGGTTAAACAATTTTCAGATAAGCAAAAGTTGAGGGAATTTACCTCCCACAAACTGTCTCTACAGTGTATTTTAAAGGACTACCATAAATGGAAGTGCTCCTAAGGCAAAATACCTGTCACCAGAGAAAATAAAGGAAGTAGACAAATTAATTACTCAGCAAATGCAAAAAATTAAATTAAGTACCTGAAAAGTCAGTCAAGGGATACACAAAGAGTAGCACCTAATATGATACCTAACATACAAAGAGTGTAAGAGGCAGAAAAAGAAAGAACCTTTAGATTGTGTTTGAAATAGCAGTAAGTGAATTAAGTTAAACTGTTAGATAATAAAGAAGTTGCCCTTAAACCTTTGGTAATCAGGAATCTAAAGCCTGCAATGGCAATAAGTACGTATCTATTGATAATCATCCTTAATGTAAATGGAATGAATGAATCAATCAAAACACAGAGTAACAGAATAGATATAAAAACAAGATGCATCCATATGCTGCTTACAAGAGACTCACTTCAAACCCAAAGACATACACAGACTAGAAGTGGAGAGATGGAAAAAGATATTTCATGCAAATAATAGGGAGAAAAAAGCATGAGTTGCAGTACTTGTAACAGACAAAATAGGCTTCAAAACAAAGAAAGTATCAAGAGATAAAGAAGGACATTACATAGTGGTAAAGACATCAGTCCAACAAGAGGATACAACCATTATAAATATCTATGCACCCAACATAGGAGCACCCGAATATGTGAACTAAATACTAACAGAATTGATGTGGGGGAAATAGAATGTAATGCATTCATTTTAGGAGACTTCAACACTCCAAAGGACAGATCAACCAGACAGAAAATAAGTAAGGAGACAGAGGCACTGAACAACACATTAGAACAGATGGACCTAACAGACATCTACAGAACAATCCACCCAAAAGCAACAGGATACACATTCTTCTCAAGCAGACATAGAACATTTTTCCAGAGTGGATCATATACTAGGCCACAAAAAGAGCCTCAGTAAATTCCAAAGGATTGATATTGTACCAACCAGCATCTCAGACCACAAAGGTATGAAACTATAAACAAATTATGCAAAGACAGCAAAAAGGCCCACAAACACATGGAGGCTTAACAACATGCTCCTAAATAATCCATCAATGATCAAATAAACAGAGATCAAGCAATATATGCAGACGAATGAAAATAACAACTCAACACCCCAAAACCTGTGGGAAGCAAAAATCTCTTGAATATAAACATGAATAATTTTTTCCTTAACACAGCTCCTTGGGGAAGGGAAACAGAAGCAAAAATGAACAAATGGGACTACATCGAACTAAAAAGCTCCTGTACAACAAAGGACACCATCAGTAGAATAAAAAGACATCCTACAGTTTGGAAGAATATATTCAGACACATATATCCAATAAAGGATTAACATCCAACATATATAAAGAACTCACACATTTCAACACCCAAAAAGCAAATAGCCTGATTAAAAAATGGGTGGAGGATCTGAAAAGACACTTCTCCAAAGAAGAAATTCAGATGGCCAACAGACACATGAAAAGATGGCTCCACATTGCTAAGTATCAGGGAAATGCAAATTAAAACCACAGTGAGATATCCCCTCACATCAGTTAGGATGGCCAACATCCAAAAGACAATAAACAACAAATGCTGGCAAGGATGCTGAGAAAGGGGAATTCTTCTATACTGCTGGTGGAAATGTAAATTAGTTCAACCATTGTAGAAAGCATTATGGAGGTTCCTCAAAAAACTAAAAATAGAAATACCATTTGACCCAGGAATTCCAGCCCTAAGAATTTACCCAAAGAAAACAAGATCCCAGATTCAAAAAGACATATGCACACCTATGTTAATTGCAGCACATTTTACAACAGCCAAGATATGGAAGCAACCTAAGTGTCCATCAGTTGACAAATGGATAAAGAAGTGGTGGTACATATACACAATGAAATATTATTCAGCCATAGGAAGAAACCAAATCCTACCAATTGCAACAACATGGATGGAGCTGGAGGGTATTATGCTCAGTGAAATAAGTCAGGCAGAGTAAGTACCAAATGATTTTACTCATTTGTGGAATATAACAATGAAGCAAAACTGAAGGAACAAAACAGCAGCATATTCACAGACTTCAAGAAAGGGCTAGGTCACCAAAGGGAAGGTGTTGGGGAGGGTGTGTCGTGAGGAAGGAGAAGGGGATTAAGGGGCATTGTGATTAGCACACATAATATAGTGGGGGGTCACAGGAGAGGGCAGTATAGCACAGAGAAGACAAATAGTGATTCTATAGCATCTTACTATGCTGATAGACAGTGACTGCAATGGGATGAGAGGAGGACTTGATAATGTGGGTGAATGTAGTAACCACAACGGTGCTCATGTGAACCCTTCATAAGATTGTATATCAATGATACCTTAATAAAAAAAATATCTTTGTGAAGGTATGCATCTGCACCTTTGAAGAGCTTGCTCTGTTCTAGCTGACATCTGTAGAACAAAGATGATGAGGGCAGATGCTGATCTCAGTGATAATTAAAAACACAGTCTGCTGTCAGAAATATGAAAGAAGTTACCATAGCGATATTTCAGTAACACCCAGTTACTGGAAGTAAAGCAGTTCACAGATTTGGCTTTCCCAATAAGGGTGGGGCCATGCCCCTAGAGGAAGGACCGAGCAATGCAGTCCTAAACATATTCTGTGATTCATTCTCAAGCCTTCCCCCAAAGGAATCTGGGGCCATTTATTAAGGTGACTGACACTGAGGAGTGGGAAATAACCTTTTTGTGGTTTATTAGATATTGACTTAAAACTAATGCTGGTCTCCAAAGCCCTGAAATACCACCATAGTACACAGATCAGAATGGAACTTATAAAGGTCAAAACAGTGAAGTCTTGGACTGAGGGCATCTTAGACTGGCTGTGGTAGGATTATAGACTGATTCTAGGGTTAATTCTACAGGTCCAAATTATAGAATAGCCATCAGTATACATAGGAATCCTCAAAAATCCCCCATTGGTTCTCTGACCCAAAGATTAAGAGCTATTAGAGGGCCAAATGGAGCCCCTAAAATGATCCATTCACCCCTAGTAACGTAGTAAACAAAAAATAAGTTTAAATGACTTGGGTATTGGAGAAATTTGTGTTGT